ATGGCCAAGGGCACAGTAACGACCCTGATAGGCGGACTCGCGAGGGCGACAGTCCGCGTCGAAGGACACTGCGAGCCCGGCCTGAGCGCCTTTGCGCGCGACGTGCTCCGGACGCGCGGCAAACGCGAGGTCCGGGCTTTAGGCGATCTCGCCGATTGGGCGCAGTACGCCTGGGCCGAGTGCAGCGGCGAGGTGCACCAACTGCCGGCCGAGATGCCGGACCACGACGACCTCGACATCCCCGGCGTGGAACTGTTGGAGAGGGTCTGGCCCTCACTTGTAGCTGCACAGAGCAGCCCACACACCGCCAAAAAGCTGGGAACTAGGGAGAGCATTTTGGGTGTTTTCAACGCCAACCTCCATCGGCTCTGAGCTACCAAGCTTTTTTTCCTAACAGCCTCGCCCAGCGCGCCAATTTCCGTGACCGTTTGTATGTTAGCGGCTGTGAAACCTTAAGCAAGGACCCCCTTGCCATCTGATCAGCCGACACGTAACCTACCGGAGATCGATCGATCCCTCTCGTGCTCTCCTGCACTCTCGTGCTCTCCTGCACTCTCGTGCTCTCCTGCACTCTTGTGCTCCTCCGTCCACACTCTCATATTTCATGTTTAATAAAATTAAAAAAAAATTCTTGATTGTTGTTAAGAGCTTGATTGTTGCGTGTGTGATGGTGTGTGTTCATGACAGAATTTCGATATCTTGGTCTGCGGGGAATTCAATGACGTATTTAAATTCCTTGGTAATTTTTTCGGTTTTAGGAGGCAGGTCGAATGACTCTACGACGTTACCGGTCTTGTCGTTGAGGAAGAGGAGTCCTGCTTCGGTTGTGTTGGCGTGCACGGCGAGGATGTCGTTGTCGTAGGTGTAGGTTTGTAGTTTGACGGTTTCGACTTTGACAAGTTGATTTTTGGAAGCGGGTAATGCGTATGATAGGACAAGCCGTGTGGTGTGGTCTTCGTGTGTGTTGTGTATGGCGAGTTGTGTTGCGTGTGCTTGTCGTTTGTTATTACCGAACAGCAAGTTGCCTCCCCTGGAGAGGAACTCTTCATCGTGTTTGAGTGTGTGTACACTGACGGCTTCGTCGACGCCTGCGTAGAGCACAAGTTCTGCGTCAGGCGCGCCGAGTTGGCCTAGGCATCCCTCGCCGACGAAGCTGCCATCCAAATAGATGCGCGTGGCAGCGTCGGCCAAGAAGCTAAATTCCGAGGTGTTACGCAGATAGAACACACGGTACGCGGCGCGAGAGTCGGCAAGTACGACGTGGTGGAAGAGCTCCGCAGCCAATTCGAAGGTGCCTAGCTCGACACGTTGCTGTCCCATTTTGTGTGGCAATTGACGACCTGGAGGAAGCAACACACGCAGGTTTCCGAAACCTGCTCGACACTCTCTAACGGCCACCTTGCGGCAACTCGCCGACAAAGGTGCCGCCCCGAAGCCTGCAGCCGCCATAAGCATAGGCGGCGGTGCCGCCTGCGGCACCGCCTTCCGCAGATCCACCCATTGCTTTGGCTGCACACGTGGCTCCCGCTCGCGAGACGGATTGCCCGAACTGAAGTAAATCGCCGCATCTCCTGGAAAATCTAGTCGCGACTGCTGCGTGACTTCAGCGTAATACTCCACCTCACAACGTGCCAGCCTCGCACCCGTGAAGCGGCAGTCATACACCGGACGCCAAGAGCAATCACCCACCAGAAATTCCAATTCCAACTCCACCGAGACGTCTCCAGATTCTTCGTCCGCGGTTGTGGACGCCTCCACAGTGACTTCGATGTCGCAAATTTTCTCCGTCCGCTTCAACTCGGCATACCCCAACACTTCCCGCAGCGTTGAGGATGCATCCGAGTATTGGATGCGTCGAAAACGCTCTCCTAACTCTAATTCCAACTGCGACGACTGGGCACAGATCAAATCTCGCAGACACGCCAAATCCATCTCCAGCTCCGTCCTCTCCAACTCCATTTCACATACACGCTCTGAACTGTCTCCCATTACTCTACAAACAGAATCCACCATCGTACGATTTACAGGATCGCGGGTTCGACGCCCGTCTCGACCACAACGCCCGTCTCTGCCACAACACCGGCCTCGACCCTCCTGCCGACCGTCCGTCTTCTGCGCTTCCTGATTACCAGCTGCGTTCCCACCTTCTTGACATTCGCCTTCTTCACACTGACACTCTTCATACTCACCCTCTTCTCCGTTCTTCAGCTCACTGGTCGGACCTTCTCCGACTTGCGGTTCAACACCTTGCGGTTCACCGTCCTGCGGTTCAACACCCTGCGGTTCACCGTCCTGCCAACCGGGTCCGTGGTTGTGCCAGGGTTTGAAACCGGACGGGTCAGCAGTAAGTCCTCCTCGAAACGGCCATGGTCCACGCATGCCTACCTGACCCCCAAACCCTGGACCTCCGCAACCTGGGCCCGCAAACCCTGGGCCTCCGAATCCGGGTCTCATGGTGCAGGAAAGGGTTCTTGGGTCCACCATGTTGGAACACAGTTTCTCCAACACGTTCTTCTTGTTCTCAAGAGACCTAATTCGGCTTGCAGTAAGGGCGTGTTTGCGCAAGGACTGCTTGAGATCATTGTAGATCTCCTTAACGTCTGGAGACATCAACTCAACGAGTGCCTCACGAGTAACATGTCGTTCCACAAACCTACTATTTACCACACGACATGGAATGGTAGAAACAGCAACCACCGCCAGATTTGACGTCGTGTGCAGCAGACATGGGGTTTCGATACGAACCACTGACTGTCCCCCAGACCGTTTCACCTTCACATCACCATGACGAGCCTTGATCATGGCCTGACCATTCACGTAAATCGTCGCCTCCGTAACCTTCATCCGTGTCCGTTGGAACAAGAAAAATTAACAAATTAAAAAGACTGTCTCCCATCCCCATCCATCCCACGGTCCATCCTACAATCCGAACCCCCATCCTATGGTCCATCCCTATAATCCCCATCCACCCCACGGTCCATCCTGCACAGATAATTTTAAATAATTCCTAGCGACCCGAGATCCACTGCTTGGGCATCCCGTTTGACTTTTTGACAAACGGATGAGTCCCATTTGGACTTGTTCATATTGACGAACAATGATCGATCGAACTGGAATTTATTTGTTGACATTATGTCAGTCAAATCATCGTCCGTCAAATTGTCTTCGTCTGATGCTTGTTCTTCTAGATATTGTTCATACTCGTCTTCTTGTCTTTGAGCAGCATTGATTATATATTCTTTTAGCATATCCCGGTCTATCTCTTGGTTCTTTGGATTCTTGTGTTTCAGTACCAAGTCCGCACAAAGATTGGTTCGTTCGATGTCGGTTCTTAAAGAAGTGGTGAGGACTTCTTGGTTGTCGTCATCATCGAAGTCACTGTCGTTCATGCCCTCTAGCGCAGCCAACAGGTCCTTGTCGTCGATGTTGCCAAGAGCCAAATCCAATATATCTTGCTCTGAAGAGTTGCTGCTATAGTTTGCAGCACCCGTATCTTCACTATCCGCATCTTCGCCTCGGCTGTGATCACCGCCGATGTCTTCACCGCCGATGTCTTCACCGCCGATGTCTTCAACCATGTTCTGTCCGACAACCTTATTCTGTATAGCAAGTTGAGCTACGTAGAATTGTCGAAGATTGGTGAGAGTGTCATCTTCTTGTTTGTGCTTATCTTCATCAGCTAATCGTTCCAATTCTTCACCGCGTGCTTCAAATCCATGCCAGATCAATTTGCGAGCTACATCCTCAGCATCCTTGCCTTTGGGCAAAAGCTGAGTGGAGATGAGATGTTGCACTTGGCGTTCATCGTTGTCTTCACGGTCAAACAAGTCATCATCTGCATCCTCACTGGACACATCCTTTCCCTCCTGCAAAGCCCTAACTAAATCACGCTCCTCCTCACTCATGATTTCAAGCCGGCATTCCAACTCTCCAGTAAACAACGGGTCTTGTCGCCGTTCCTCCAGGTCATCGGGGACCATGACTAGGGTCGTGCCCTCAATTGGAAACTTGTCTGGACACCACATGTGCTGTTCGTAATCATAACCATCATTCGGAAAGTACTCTATATCCTCATTCCAATCCCCTTCCTCAGAGGAGCCGCCGTACTCGCCTCCGTACTCACCCTTCATCCCCGCCATTTAATATTTCGACAGCCCAGGGCCCAGCCGCACGTTGTACAAAAAACCAATACAGAACTACATGCACATCCTGATAGCTTTGCCTGATAGCTTTGGTGGAAATGCTAAGGAAGAGAGGTCTTCTTGGGAGGAGAATTTTTGGAAATTAGGGGCGTGATACCCGGGATTCCAGACTCCCTGGTCGGGGGTTAAAAAATTCTTACAAGATGCGAGGATGCTCGATGCGGGGGTGCTCGAGTGCCGCGGAAGAAACACGACTGCCACTGTTGGCCCTGACTGTGATAAACGCTCCGGGCGCCGTCATTAGTATTGGAGGTCAGAGCTCGCGGATTGTGAGCCGGAAACAACATAGGCGCGTGGTACATGTCGAGGACTACGACGACTGCGAGCCATGGCTGTGGCAGAACGACCCCTACAAGACAGGGCTGCGTGCCTCTGCGTGGACCGAGTGGGTCGACCAGTCGCCACGACGCCGGTCATCGCCCCGATATACACCCCGACGGCGATACTCAGAAGTGATTGAGTATCCCTCATTTTCACACCGCGAAGTGGTGCAGGAGTACCCGCCATCAGCTGCGCCGCCATTAGCTGCGCCGCCTTGTCACCATACGTGCGCTCATATATATTCTCATGGACCTCATCCATGTTCGAGCCATCCCCTCGCTCATCATAATTGCTCAACAGAGTACCGTCCTTTGGACCACCACTCGGGACCCAACCACCTGTCGGGACCCAACCACCACTCGGGCCTCAGCCAGCACCGCCATATCCAGTCACCTTCGTTCTGCAGCCAGCCATCCGCCGTGGGCTCGACAAACGTGGCCTCGACGGACGTGGCCTCACAGCACATACCGGACGAAACGGTCACGCTTCAACCTCCCCCTTTCCCGGTCATAGTGCAGCCTCCGCCGATCGTGGTCACTAGGCGTGCAGCATGATCCTTTTTTTACGCTTAAACGGTCAGGTACCGTCGTAGTCAAGTACTATCGCGGTTGGTTAGCTGGTTATCACCGCGGGTGTTGTGCACCAACCATCACGGATAAGGGACCGTGTGCGGGATAGCATCAAGATCGTGTGCGGGATAGCATCAAGATCGTGTGCGGGATCTTTTATCGAGAAATTTGGATTGAAACTTGTCACCCACTTTCTTGCCAGTTGGTGAATAATTACCAACTACTCTACCCGTTTTCTTGGCTAGTCGGGCGTTGTGTATATTGAGCTTCTTTTTAGCTTTAGCTTCTTTTATGGTATTGACCTTTTTCTTCTTTTCTGACCTTTTCTTGGCCTCGTCCTCTTGCTGAGGTGTCCGCGGTTTCCACATCTTGGTTCCAGACCTTTGTCGCTTGGTTGGGCACTTGGCGTCTTCATCATCTAGCAACCCGGAGGCGGCTACGGCAGACTCATCCCATGTCTTCTCATCCGCTATATCTTCATCGTCCAGCTCCTTGTAGACCGTCTTAACCTTGCTGCATCCTACTTCCGACGCCTTCTTCTCCTTGCGCGTCTCCATGGACAAATTCAGCAGCAACATGTCCACTGGCTCTTCGTCCAAGTCCAAGACCTGTGGTGCTCTAATCATCTTTCTTACTCGCCAATTTGTTTACTTACTCTGGGTGCTGTTAAATTGGGTGCCTACTACGACCAATTTTCACACCAAATAAAAACTCATCCGCGGGCATCATTCCATCCCACGTCATGGAATATTTCACCACACCAGCGACACCACAACACACACCAGCGACACCACAATACACACCAGCGACACTGATCAGAACACACGCCCGCTAGAACACACGCCCACTAGAACACTAGTTAGCATGTCGGTTTGTATGAGCTGGGAAGTTGGAGAGGAGAAGGTATTCATCGAATTGTTTCGCGAACAGGGCATCAGAAGCGATGCAGCCGACAATGTCTTGGCGCAGTCCTGCATGTTTCTGTGCGAGACAACGAAAGCCAGCCATGAGAAGCACGGGTATACCGATAAGGCCAACAACTGAGAAGATTACGAATTCGAAGACATCAGAAGGAGCCAGAACAAAATGTACCTGACTGATCATGGTCCCATCTGGATCAGATATACCATCATAATAGCACAGATGTAACAATAGCTGTTGTGCTATCGAGTGAGGCTCGAAGCTGGATGATCGTTTATATAAACCAAATGCTCTCCTCCAGTCGGAGTACTGATCATCTTCCTTCAAATGATTGACCCACTCCTCGAACCTCAACGTCATCAAATCGCCAGTCGGTTCGACTGCATCACAGCTTTCACCGTAGCTTTCTCCCGTAGCCTCAATTTTCCCCGTAGCGTACATTTTCCCCGTAGTGTACACTTTCCCCGTAGTGTACACTTTCTGCCGGGGATGCATTACTCGGAAGGCCAGATGTTCCGCGGAACCATTACAGCTACCCAGCTTTATCGCCACTACTGGCGATGGTTCGGATACGGTTCGTCGTCGGATTATCGATGTGTCGTTTTCAGCGGGCCAGTGGGACCTACGGAGAGGCATCTCCACCTCCACATCAAACTGAACTTTCCATCCCGCGTTGAAGAATATCCGAACCTCGGCATCTACCGTCTCGCCTTTCAGCTTTCGCGGCTTACCCCCTGAAGAAAGGTACTGTCCGGTCAGAGCGGGAATGGGAGTACCACTAGCGGCTAGGGG